GCCTCACTTATCAAATCCAAAACGCTCTTCTTTTTTTTTTTATATAGCGTATAATAATCAATAATTTTAAACGATGACCTGTATTTCAACAGAAAAATGTCTATTGTACTTAACTGGTCTCTAGCAATTTTTAAGACGCCAATTCGACGCTAAATTAATAATTAGAGGCTGTGCTTTATATGACGACCAATAATTTTGCTTTAGATAATTTGCAGCTATCAAGGTGAAACTCAGCGATGCAATAATTGATAAGAAAAATACATTTATATCCGTTGATACTGATTTCTTTAAACCAAGCTGTGGTATTGCAATCGCTCAATATTTAGCACTTCTCGGAGTTACTTTTAGTTTTTATTAAGGTGAATCTATAAATGATAAATAAAAAAAGAAGAAACTCACTGTTAATTAATTAGTAAATAGTAATTATCTGAAAATACTTAACACATACTCTATTAAATGGCAAGTAAAAAAGAAATTGAAATTATAATGGAGGAAAAGTTCAAAGCGCAAGAAAGTTCGCTTTTAAAAATAGTATCAGGAAATGCCTCAATATAAAACGACAAAATGGATAAAATTTTACATTCAATAGAAAATATAACAAATCGTATTTCAAAAGTTGAAAAAAAGCAACAAAGCTTGCAGAAATGTATTGACGATCTACAAAAAAGTATTGAGTTCACTTAAGATACTTTAATTAATGAAAAACTCGTACACGTCGAAGAAGAACTTAAAAAGTTAATGAATACAGAAATTACTAAAATTGTAAATCAGACCGTACAGCTAAAAACAACGCAGATCGAAGCAAGTAAATTAAATGATGCACTACAAGAAAAAATTAGAAAACTAGAAGATAGGAATAGAAGGAACAATATTATAATTGACGGTGTACGAGAAAATGAAAAAGAAACATGGGATCAAACTGAAAAAAAAGTTCAACAAATATTTAATGATCAGTTAAAAATAAGTAACATTATTATTGAACGAGCGCTCCGTATCGAAAGACGCTTTAACGCAGAGAAAATAAAGAATAAACCCAGAACAATCATACTCAAACTGTTAAATTATAAAGACAAAGAAAAAATTTTGGAAAACGCAAAGATGCTGAAAGGTACAGGTATTTTTATTAATGAAGATTTTTCATTTGAAACTAACAAAATAAGACGCAAACTAAGTGAAAAAATGAAGATTGAGCGTAACGCTGGAAAATATGCTATTACTGAGTACGATAAGTTAATAGTGAGAGAGTTTAATCTAAAAGCTAAATAAGTAATTTTATTTTTTATTTATGTTTCAAAATTTTATATAAAACCATGTATAAAAATGGAGCAAAACTCTATATTTCAATTTTCTAATGAAAATATTAATGATAATGACACTGAAACAGACTGTTTTGACAAATTGAATTTTGAAAGCAAATACTACTCAGTTTACCAATCTGCACAATATCTTAAAAATAATAAAAACGCATTTTCAATTTTAAATATTAACATGCGAAGTCTAAATAAAAACTTTGAAAATTTAAAAATTTTCTTGGACGAAATAAAACATGATTTTAGCATTATTTGTCTAACAGAAACGTGGTGTAAATGCAATAAACAAAGTACACAGTTTGATTTAATTAATTACACGTCAATTCATCAACCACGTGATAGTTATGGTTACGGAGGCGTTAGTATTTTTGTCCAAAATTCAATTGATTTTTTCCCTCGTAATGACCTATGCGTTAATGAAACAGATTGTGAGCTATTGTGCATTGAACTTTATAATAAAACCACAAAAAATATAACTGCTATTTATAGAAAGCCATCTGGTAACTTAAAAAAATTTAAGACTCACTTAAACACATTTTTAACTAAAGTCAATAAAGAACGGAAGCATATTTACGTTGTCGGCGATATCAATTTGAACTTGTTAAAACAAGCTTTAAACAAAATTAAGCATTTTATCGATAAACTTCTTCAACATAATGTTATTCCAACAATAAATAAACCAACCAGAATAACTAAGAAATCTTCTACTTTACTTGATAATATAATCACTAACAATTTTTATAACAACTATATTTCCACAGGTATAATCAAAACAGACTTATCAGATCATTTTCCTACTTTTTTAATAACTAATAATATAACAATTAATAATAATTCTTCTAAATTTATAATATACAGGCGGCAGATCAATAAATGCTCCTTACAAAAATTTCAACACCTTTTAAAATATGATAAAGACATTGAAATTCTTAGTACTGTTAAATAGTCTAGATTTTTAAATTTATGGTGCTAATTTAGTTTAATAAATTTTAAAGCTTTAAAAGTGACATAGAAGATCTGCTATATTAAAATCCATAAGTACTAAATAACGTCTTAATTTAGATTTGAATTGCGGAAGTGTTTTTTCTTTAATATTAACAATATGCTGAAAGTTTTTCCACAAAATTGGACCCCTGTACTGAATAGAATAAGAACATAACTTTAAATTATACTTTTGAGTTCGAAGTTATTTTCTGAGAACTTGGTGGGGTATTTATGGCTTACTTCTCTAAAATAAGGATAGAATATCGCTGGAGACAGTCCATGTTTTATTTGATACATGAACTGTATGACGAGGAATATGTTAATTTTAAACACATTTAATGCATTGAGTTTACGTAAAAGTGGCTCACAAGGCACAGTTCTTTTTACTCTAAATACAATTCTACATGCATGTTTTTGTTTAGTATAATTTTCTTTAACTTAGCGTAGCTGTTGCTTGCCCATACGATATTGCCGTAAGTTAAATAGCTATGTATGAAGGAAAAATATAAATTTTTAGAGATCTTATATCCAAAAATGGTTTTGCTTTATACATCATTGCAATGTTTATTGAAAGTTTTCTTTCAAGAGTGTTTATATGTTTCCTCCATGTTAAATTTTCGTCTAAAATAATACCTAAAAAGTTTACAGTTGTTTGCCTAGTAATATTTATATTATTGATTTTAAGATTGGGTAATTTTAAAGGAAGGTTTCCTGTTTTAGTTGGTTTGTGAAATAGAATAAATTTAGTTTTGTTAACGTTAAGTGAAAGTTTATTACAAATAAACCATTCATTTACTTTGTTTACTTCTTCATTAACTACTTTAAAGAGGGTATTAATATCCCTATGAGAATAAAACAGATTGGAGTCATCAGCAAACAAAATAAAGTTTAGTATGTTCGAGGTAAGAGATAGATCATTTATATAAGAGAAAACAGTAACGGTCCTAAGAATGAACCTTGAGGAACTCCGCATTTTATTATACTTTTTGTCGTTTTAACATTTTCATATTGAATGTATTGCTGTCTGTTTGATAAGTAATCTTTAAACCATAGTAAATTATTGTTTTTTATTCCATAATGTTCAAGTTTTTTTAAAAGAATGACATGGTTGACTGTGTCAAAGGCTTTAGACAGATCAATAAATACTCCTAATGTAAAACGGTCATCATTAAAAGCATTGGTTACATGAGTTACTAACTCGGTCAAAGCGTGGTCAGTTGAATGATTTTTTTTAAAGCCAAATTGCTTGTTGAACAACATGTTATTTACTGTTAAGTAGCTGTTTAGCCTATTATACATTATACGCTCGAGTAACTTAGAAAAGCATGGTAAAACTGATATTGGTCTATAATTTGAAGAATCTGTGTCATCGCCAGACTTAAAAATAGGCAAGACCCGTGCAATTTTTAATTTTTCTGGAACTGTTCCAGATTGAAGAGAAAGATTAAAAATGTGATATAAAGGAGTTTCTATAATATAAAAAACTGATTTAACAACATTTATGCTAATATTATCAAAACCTACACTTGTGTTGTTTTTAAGATTATCTAGAGCATATCGTAACTCATTAATATCTAGTTTAGATTCGTCCATGACCTTATCATATATTTTTAAATAAGAATCAAACGATAATGAGCCTGAAGGAATTTTTTCAGCTAAGTTTGGACCAATATTAAGAAAGAAGCTGTTTAGATTTTCAGCTACTATTGACTTGTCATATATAATTTTACCATCTACTAAGAGTTTCTTTGGTTGAATACTTATTCCATTACTTTTTCTGCCAATAATTTCTTTAATTACGCTCCACGTACTTTTGGCATTTCCGCTAGTTTTTTTTAACAACTTTGAATAGTAAATTTTTTTTGATTGTTGTTTAGTTTTTTCAAATATATTTTTATAAAGTTTGTAGTTTGTTTCATTTTTATACGTTTTTTTTTTTTAAGAATTTTTCATACAACTTTTTTTTTTTCTTTGAAGATTTTAATAAGCCTTTAGACATACATGGAGCTTGATATGGTATTTATAACAATTTTTTTCTCCGGAAAAGCTTTTTCATATTGCTCACAAAAAAATTTAAGAAATAGTTCATAGGCATTATTTATCTCTACCGATTGCATTATAAGATCCCAATCAACGTTATACTTTCATTGAATATATATATTCTCTTAAAGTTACCTACAATTTTCTTGATATATTTTATAATATTGGAACAGAATTTTTATTTGAATTTTGAATTATTTTGAAAGAAAATAATATATACAAATATATATGTCGAATCACATCCAATTTATAACCAAAAACAGAAAATTTTTGTCATTTTTATTACTATATTTTATTCATTTTTTTTTATTTTTTTTTTGTTTATCTTCAATTATTTTAATACTTTTTTTTTTTTTTTTTCTTTTTAACTTTGTTTCTTAACATTTTAAATTGTCTTTTTTTTAAATACTTTTGCTTATATATTACGGATTATTGTGTATTACGGATATTTATTTGCGTTAATATTGGGGCTCGGTGATAAGGCTATTTTATGCCTTCTTCTTGCTCCAGCCAATTGTACTTTTTATATTGTTGTACTTTGTAAATATTTTTAACGGCGAAATAAACTAATAAATTAATAAACTAACTAACTAATAAAATCTATAAAAAAAGTGATTCTTTTAAAAAGATTTTCGCTGACGTTTTTTATCATATAGTCGCCATCGGCCTTGGCACAGTGGCATTAGATACTATTGCTGAAAAGGATAAAGTAACAAGCGCACTGGGCTTGTTTTTTAAATGTCAAACCTTGGTAAGTTTTAATTATATTTAGTTGGAGGTAAACTTGTAAGTCAAAAAGTGGTTGATATGGAAAGGATACCAGCCAGCGTTATAAAAATGATTCTCCTCATACACCTCAACCAAACCAAAATGTTAAATAAATACAATAAACAATATAAGACAGCGAGCGTTGAGTTCTAGGGAAGTGGGATATTAGCCCAGACTCTCAGAAAACAATATCCAAACAGTTGAAAAGCAAAAAAGACAAGACGAAGCTGTTAGAAAATTGCAAAAGGCAACAGCTGACTGTAATTGAAAATAAGTTGAGACAATTAATAAAATTAATACTCAATTCCAGGCTGATCTGGGATTATCAAGAAAATATTCTAATAGTTTATCTGTTATCGCTTTTATTAATTCCGGTGTTATTTGAATTTCTTCTGGTTTGACTTGATGAGTATTAGTTTGTATTTAAATTTTTATATCTTCAGCTCTTTAAATTTATTGGTTTAAACAAACCATTAAAGTATAGCTCTTTTTTTATTCTTCCAGAATTGCGTGGAACATAATCTAAGGCAATAGTATTAACAACAATTTTGGTGAAACGTTTTTAAAAATGATATCGATTACACTATTTATAGTTTTTACATAACATGCGAAAGTTCCCTATTTGAACTTGTAATTTATATTATTTCTTTTTCTTTAGCTTTACTTAGTATAATGTCGATTTTGTCTACAAGTCAGATATATATATATATATATACTTTTTCTACTATAAAGAAGTATATCATGTGACATTTTTTGGTTTATTAAAAGGAATTGTAAAGCGAAACCGGGTCAAACCGCACACTAATCAAAAAATTTTTTTTTTTTTTTTCATTTTTATTTCAATAAATAGATAATAAAAAGCTACATTAGATTACATAAAGACATATTAAAAAAATCAAACTATCAAAAATATAAAATGTAAAAAAAAAATTGTGCGGTTTTAGACGGCTTTCTTTATGGATTTTTCAATGCGAATTGTTCGTGCGACTATTAAAACCACTATTTCCCAGTGAGCACGGAAAAAAAAAAAGATATCTTTTAAACGTTTTGGACATCTTTTGAACGTTTTGGATGGCTTTTAAACGTTCAAAAGACGTCTCATTTTGGTCCGGTGCCTACTGGGTTTACCCCTTCTGTACATATTGTTTTACATACGAAATTAATACTTGCATAATTATCTTCCTTTTTAGCTAGAGATCTGAAAAGATAATATATATATATATATATATATATATATATATATATATATATATATATATATATATATATATATATATATTTATATATATATAAATATATATATATATATATGTATATATATATATATATATATATATATATATATATATATATATATATATATATACATATATATATATATATATATATATATATATATATATATATATATATATACGTATATATTAATTTATAAAAATAAAGAAAACAACTTTATATGGTACTAATAGTTTCATGCCTAAAGGCAATCATCAGCCATGTAATACAAAACAAGAAACAAAAAAACCCGTTAAAATATAAAGTTACAGTGGAGTGTGCTCTGTCGTCAAAACAAAGCAAAAACAAAAAGATATGAAAAAAACCAAAAACGGCTGCCTAATCACCCGTATAGAAATTCGAAAGGAGGAATTTGCTTTTATGTCTACATTTAGATACTAATTCATTCCTCTAATTTAATAAGTTATCATAGGTGTACGATATTATGAAATACTTTTCGTATAGACATAAGTTGCATCGTTTTATTGTAGGATTGTAAGATCTACAACGTTTTAAAATTTTCCATTTATTTGTCGGGTTTACTCCATTTTCTTTTAACTTCCATACTTCCTTAGACAACTCAGTATCGTTTTTATATTTTTCGATGTTAAAAGATTTTGTATGATTAGCGTATCTAAGTTTAAAAGCAGTTTCACTTACTCCGAAATACACTTTTTCAATCCCGTCTGGAGTGCCTAGATATAGAGTGGCTTGATGCACTATATTATTAACGAGGCACTGTTGATTTAAAGGGCACTTGCTTTTAGTAATACAATTGTAATACAAACTTTTATCTGTTTCTGGGGGATGTTTTTCATAATATGACGGTTATGAAAGTTAACGATTGATTTAATGTTTGGCATACAACTGTAACTCACCTTTAGAGTATTTCTATTAAAAATCTTGTGTATGTACAGTACTGTGAATATGTTTTAGACCACTTACATTTTCTCAAAAAATCCAAGAGAATTCTTCCTTAATATTTAAGTTTTGAATTCTATATTATAAAATTATTAAAATACATATATTTCACACAAAATATGGAACAATAACAAACTTTTTAATGTCACACTTCATAAAAAAACCCTTAATATTTACTATGTCCTCCTTTTGCCTTAATCACAGCCGATATTCGCCGGGAAATAGATTCATACAAATTTGTTATAAAATCCTGCGGTATGTTGTGCCATTCTCTTTGAAGTAGTTGAAAACATTCTTCAGCATTTCGGGGAGCATGTTCGACCTTTTTCCTGTCCAAGTAATCCCAAATATGCTCGATTATATTCAAATCTGGACTCTGGGGAGGCCAGGTCATCATTTCCAGTATTCCTTCTTCTGCCATTTCATTTAAATAATTTTTTGCCACTCGGGAACAATGTTTTGGGTCATTGTCCTGCTGCAGAATAAAATTATGGCCTATTAGTCTCATTTCGGATGGTATAGCATGCTGTCTTAGAATATCCACATAACGTTCCCCGGTGAGTCGTCCCTCTATTTTGATCAGATCACCTACCCCAGATGAAGATAAACAGCCCCAAACTTGTAAAGAGCCTCCTCCGTGTTTAATAGTAGGGTTTAAACACTCGAGCTGATAGGCTTCTCCTATTCTTCTTCGAACATATTGACGTCTTTTCGTTCCAAAAATTTCAAATTTGGACTCATCAGTGTACAGAACCCGATTAAACATTTCCTGGGTCCAATCTTTGTGTTGTTTTGCATATTTAAGTCGTTTTTCTCTATTGCCACGCCGTAATAAAGGTTTTCGAATTGCAACGCAGCCTCCTAATCCTGATTTGAGTAGGTGTCGTCGAATACAAGAAAAGCTAACATTTTTCCCTGTTGCTGTATTAATGTCCTTTGCCAATTCGGTGGATGTTTTTTTCCTGTTTCTTAAAGAAAGGGTTTTTAAATATTTATTGTCATCTTTTGTTAGCTTAGGAGGTCTGCCACTTTTCTTTCTATTTCGAAGGGAGCCAGTTTCTCTAAACTTTTTAATGATTTCTCTAATAGCAGTCTTCGAATATCCTGTTTTGGAAGGAATTTGGCGCTGCGAATAACCTTCTTCGTGAAGCACAATAACTTTCTGTCTCTCTATTAAAGATATTTTACCCATAGCAACACTTAATTAATCTAAAAATGTAAACTAATAACTTTATTTAATTATTTTTAACTATTTGTTTAACTGTATTCATAAAAAATTACAACTTTTTAAAAAATGTACCAAAACCGATTATTATTGTATTAAATTCACTCTATGACTACATTTTATACTGTTAAAAACTTAAATGAACGAATATGAACCTGAACCAGTAAAAAAAAAATCGAAAATTTTATTTTTATGTATTATTTAGATGAACGCTTGGTCTGCAGTTATTATGACAATTATCGTTTTAATAAATAAACAAACATATCCCTCATGTTCCTCATAAATTTTTGTTTATTTATTCAAGCTAATATATTCTTTCAACCTTTCTCAAATATTACTCAACTTCAGTATGCTTAAAAAAAAAAATACACAGGAAAAAAATTGAAAATACAACTAATTATATAAGTGGTCTAAAACATATTCACAGTACTGTATATACGTATATATATATATATATATATATATATATATATATATATATATATATATATATATATATATATATATATATATATATATATATATATATATATATATATATATATATATATATATATATATATATATAAATATATATATATATATATATATACGTATTATATATATACGTATATACTGCCGTCCTAAGAAAAAACGCAGTAATCGCAAAAATTGAAAAATCGAGATTATTGCACCAAACGTTTTAACATCGTTTTCTGTGTAATAACGCTCTATATAAAAATATTGTGGTATATTCCGAAGTCATCAAACCCATAGTTCATTTTGCCGTAAGTTAAAAAAATATATACACACAAAATTTAAAAGTGGCTTTTTCTCAGAATGTCATTTTTGTTGTTTACTGCGTTTTTACTTAGGGCGGCAGTATAAACGTATATATAATATATACGTATATATACGTATATATTATATATATAATATATACGTATATATACGTATATATATATGTATATATATATGTATATATATGTATATATATATGTATATATATAAATATATATATATATATATATATATATATATATATATATATATATATATATATATATATATATATATATATATATATATATATACGTATATATATATATATATATATATATATATATATATATATATATATATATATATATATATATATATATATATATATATATATATATATATATATATATATATATATATATATATATATATATATATATATATATATATATATATATATATATGTATATACATATATATATATATATATATATATATATATATATATATATATATATAAATATATATATCTATATATCTATATATATATATATATATATATATATATATATATATATATATATATATATATATATATATATATATATATATATATATATATATATATATTTTTATATATATATATGTATATATATATATATATATATATATATATATATTTATATATATATATATATATATATATATATATATATATATATATATATATATATATATATATATATATATATATATATATATATATATATATATATATATATATATATATATATATATAT